ATTCTTGTAAGTTCTTCCGTGTGTGAGATTGTTTAAGTTAGGTTTATCCTTTTCTTATTCCCCAATAATTTTGTGTTAATTTTTTATATACATCAATAAGAAATAAAAAAGTTAAAAATTCATGTGTAATTGTATGTAACCCCCCCTTCTACAATTACTTTATGTTTATTTCCATCTCATTCGGGACCAACACAAATCATGATCCTCCTTCTCTTAAAACAAAACTCCTAAAACATATATATTACAATCAACTCAAGGATTCAAGAGAAAAAAATGTAACAAACTTTAAATCTATGTCAAAATCGGATAAATGATGAATTTCCATGAAAAATCATCTGTTTAATCCCAAAATACCCAAATGAGCCCTAACTTCCCAAATCAAGTAACAAAACTCCATTAATGGATGAAAACGATTGGGCGAAATGACGTGAGAGAAAGAACCTCTTGGTGGAGTCCAGTCCCTGAGCGGCTCTCGGTTCTTGAGCATGTTGGGGGATTACGCGGCAGTTGAAAGAGCCACTCGAAAGCTTGACAAAGAAGCGAAAAAGGCCTAATCCCTTTGTTCTAATCCATTCGGACAACTATGGCAACTCGTACTAATTGCCCTTGCACTGATACCAGTAAAGGGAGCGTCGGCCAGAAGATAAGGGGAAAAACTGCACAAACTTACCAAGCTTAAAGATCAAGATTCATACATGATGAGGATGATTTTTCCACTTCTTCTTCTACGATCCTCCCAAAAATCCTTTAATGGCGCATTTTCTTCAAAGTATCCTTTTTTGCACACACACATTATAGATATGATACACATTTAATGGAGAAATGGGGAAAGAAAACTCTCATTAACCGTCAACTTACAACTTTATCTCCTAAATAATAGAAGGTTCTCATATTCACCCTTAAATTTTTGTTAAACATACAAAATGAAACAAGGGTTATTATGTTACATCAATTGTAATGTTCGGTTTTAAGTTATGGGTTGATTGGGTTTTGAAATAAATAGTGATGGAAAGTTGAGGGGTAAATCAGGCATTTATTGAAAGATGTGGGACCAATGGTGAATTAGTGGTCACCTCCTTGTGGGTTATGTTTTTTGGTCCAGTATTATTTTCTGGATTTATGGTTTTCACATGGGGGGAGGGTGCATGCCTATGCATCGTCTCACCCTCCCCTCCTGAGAATTTCATATGTAAGTTGAGAAGATATGGTTAGGAAAAGGGTTTTGGTGATGGGGTTGAAGGAGAGAAAGAATCAAAGAGTGCAAAGGGAGATCTTGAGTAATTTCGGACGAGATGAGTTTTTACAAAATTTTGGTAAATTATGTGTTATTACGTTACACATGATCTACTTTGATACATGAAATTATGTGACGTGTTTGGATTCGAAAAATTATGTCTGATGGGATGTGTTCATCTCTCATGCCTTGGGAGATGAGGGAGCGCTCATCTCCCATGCCTTAGGAGATGAAGGAGTTCATTGGCCAAGTTTTGACCTATAGTTTGTTCATCGTTTAGGCCGCGATAGTTGGCGGGTTTAACCACGATAGATGGCAGGACAGCTATGATAGTTAGCGGTTTTAACCACAATAGATGGCGGGCAGCCGCAATAGTTGGTGGGTTTAACCGCGATAAATCGCGGGCATCCACGATAGTTTAAATAAGTTGAAATTTGAACTAAAACTATTATCATTTTTATGACATGTTTTTATACGAGGGATATCACTCACTAGACTTTTCGGTCTAAACCTTAGTTGTTGTAAATGTATTTTTGCAGGTCAACTCAGGTTGTAGCGTCTTATCTAAAAGTGTTACAATGAGTTTATATGACGTTTTTGGACATCCTAACAAGTTTTTTATAACACTTTTAAAATAAAGTGTCATGTTGTTTATTTTATATGATACTATTTCAAAGTTTATTCTATAAAAATATGGGTTTTAGGAGAATTCTCAAAAGTGTCCTATAAAATAGCGAAAATGACATTTTGTTTTAAAAGTGTCCAAAACTCTTTATATTTTGGTTTTATAAACTGAAGTCCTATAAAATATCATACTATAACGTTTAGAGATTTTAGGTATCCTATAAACCCGTTCTCAAGCTTCCCTTTGATTCTTCAATTTCAAAATTCTATGTAGATGGATTCATTAAACTTTGGTTATTTAGTGTTTTTTTCAAATAATTTCTTTTATAATTTTCTGATCATCTAACAGAATTTAGAATTAAGTGACACGTTTTATTTTTCGCACATGACCTCCAAAATATCAGGACCGAGGCTATCGTGTCCGGGATCATGACAAATGTCATCATCTGTGGCACAAGAAGTCAAATGTTCCTATTTTGACAATGAAATCAACTCGGTAAATTCCAAAATTCCATTTACTAATTATAACATCAAAATACGGGTATTACAAGGGACCACACTAGTGTTCTATTTAAAACAATAACCATGTGTCTATTTGTTTATATATGTAACTTATAATTCATATATTGCAGCCCCAATTGAATTGTGGACTTCTAGTTATGGTTGTAAACGAACCGAACATTCAGTGAACCGTTTGGTGGGAAGTTCGTTTATGTTCGTTTATTTAATAAATGAACGAACATGAACAAATTTTTTGTTCGTTTAATTAAACGAACGAACATGAACAAGAGTCTTGTTCGTTCATTTATGTTTGTGAACGTTCGTTCATTTACCATTCGTTTATATATTAAATTTAATATATAATCTTTTATTTATTTACTTTGAATTCAAATAATATTTATTTATGTTCGTTTAGCATGTTAACGAATGAATATAAACGAACACGAACACACCTGATTTCTAAACGAACGAACACGAACACAAATATTTCCGTTCGTTTACTGTTCGTATCCGTTCGTTTGTTCGGTTAAGTTAAACGAACGAACATGAACAAGCCTCTGTTCGTGTTCGTTCGGTTCGTATACAGCCCTACTTTTGAGCTTGTGTTTGAGCCCAAACAATGTAAGCTCCATTTTTCTCATGGTCAACTTCAATTATTACATACTCTTATATTAACATGTGTATTTGACTTTTAAACATGTTTAACCAGAACCATATTGTAACAACCTTAAAAATAGAAGACAGTTTAAACCTGTAGACTTAAAGCGGACCAAGATTGGATCGAATACAATCACCCAATAAAATGAGAAAATAGTATGGGAGTGAGTTTACAAATTTAATGAATGATAACCAAAAACCTACTAATCTAAATCAATTCTAAATCTAGATTACAAATTGGGTATCGTTAAAATCCTCAAAAAGAAAAGGTGTATCTTTAGTAACTCCACGATTGACTTCCAAAAGGATCACCCAAAAATACCTCTACCGGCACATGCCGCTTCGCTCAAGCCTTAGGAGTCCACCTCTAGGGGAACCTGATATACATGTCATTTAAGAAAAAGTGTTAGGCTTAAGGCCTAGTGAGCACAAACATTTATTGAATAAAGCTCTAACACATTAAAACGAAAAATGTAGCTTTATTAAGTCATGCCCATTTATATATATAGTAAAATCATATTTACCATTGGAAGGGCGTAAAACATCATAGGATGAAGGAGGAGACCCGATTTACCATTTACAGTGATGGAACACATAAGCAAGCCACGATTCGATGTTATATAAGCAACACATATGAATAATCAATCATTAAGATCAATCTCTCCGGTTTAGGTTCCAAAACTTATCAAACTTTGAATTAATCATCCCCATTGTATATAAAATCGTTTCCGACACTTGTCTCGTCGAAATACGTAAAATCCCCAACTTAAAATTTTGACCTAGTTGGTCCAAAATTAACCAAATGTGAACTACACGAAATAAAAGCTTTAGCGAACTAAAATATAACATTTTAACATGTATATGGTTTGATGATAGTATAGGATGAACTCACAAGTTAGGTTTTGAAGGAAACCTATGAAGTTATATAGCTCCTTAAATGAAGTGAGAAAGATAAGGTATGGAGGAAAATGAGGAGAAACCCAAGGAAGATCGACATTATTACCAGGTGACCAATGCAACTTTACTGCGGGTTTAGTCGCCCTCTCAGTTTCTAACCCGGCAAGAACAGTCCTAAAGCGACTTCAGTACAGGTTTAGCCGTATCAAGGTCGCCCGCATTCTTGAAAGAGGACACAAACAGTACAAATAAATAGTTGTTTTATCTTTACATGGGGTTTTGATACTATATAGATTTTTATTATGTTGAAGTGTCGTAAAGCTGCTCGAGAGACGAGCCCCTTCAGATTCGACATGGATTTCGACCCCGTGAGCTGAGTTCTATATCTTATAAAACTCAATGTTGGTGATTTTAGTGTCATCAACCATTTTGGTTTAATTGTGATTTACTTGAGATCGATTGAGATGATAAGGCAAACATACATGAGTTAAGAGGTGCAAAGTGCACACTCACAAATGTTTGCCCCTATCACCTTAGATCTCCATAAAGCAGGGGTCAAAAGGGTCGCGCCCCCTTGCGGGGTCTTAAGGGCAATGCCCTTGAGACCCTCGGATCTAAGTTTTAAAAGAATAAAAAAAATTCTAAGCCTTTGTGTGTTTTTCAGTTATTGATAAGCCATCACTGAAGGTATTATTCTGCATATCACTGAAGAGCCCCAGTTGTCGCTGAAAGGCCTTCGGCTATCACTGAAGAATTGAAAGGCTATCGCTGAAGATGTATTTTCCAGAACTTAAGATTGGGTTATAACTACCTTTTGAACTTATCCATTAACGGTTACAACCGTTTAACCTCCTTAACTGTAGATCTCTCTTGTAAATATATAATTCCGTATGATTTTTTCTAGATTATCCCGATACTGATATAAGACGTATAATTAAAATACTAGATTTAATATAAAAACAATCCTCTTATTTATATCATGAATGCTAAATTCATTTTTGTTTAGCCTCGTACGGGTAATTAGGTGAACATCAACCAGAACTCATGATACATGTCAAAGACTCTGCCGGCTCTCGATCGATCCTAGTTACATGCTAAAATTAATCTGCGAGTAATAAGTTTGTCCGGGTACGAAACCGTACGGAACAGCGTGATACGCAATGACTGCTTCGTTCCTCCGGGAGATGAGCCTGAACGAAAACGGACCACGAAACGATGGGTCAATGTGCGCTGTCCAAACCGCACCCCATGTGTTTTGCATCCATCTAAACTGGGGTGAGCCAAATGGTGCTACCTCGACCGAGTTAAGACCACCATCTCCTTCGCAAAACTCGATCGCCATCGCAAACCAGTAAGGGTTCGTCATCGGGTCAATCTTGAATGCAATACTTGTACTACCATAGTTGCATGCCACCCTAGTCATATATACGCAAATTTAAAGATGTTAAAAGATCAAATATATGATATTATAAATCAAAAATCATATCACACCGCTATAAAATCGGTTTTATTTCAAAAAATATGTCATAAAAAACTTGTTAGGATGTCCAAATAAGTCATATACGATCTTTTGGTCATATAAATTTAAATGTTATAAAACAGTCTATTATACACTACAATAAAATCGAGTTTATAGGACACTCTCAATTTCTAAGCATCCTAATAAACCTCTTTATAAGACTTAGTTTATAGGACCAAAAAAATAAAGCGTTATATCTAATGACGTTGTAATAAGTTTATATGACGTTTTTTGACGTCGTAATAAGTTTTTTAGGACACTTTTAATATAAAGCGTCTCATTAGCAACTTTATAGGATACTATTTGAAAAACCGTCCTATAAAAAATTGAGTTTATAGGACACTGTCTCAAAAATGTCTTATAAAGTTGCTAATGCGACACTTTGTATTAAAAATGTCCTAAAAAACTTGTTAAGACGCCCAAAAGCGTCATATAAACTTATTACAACACCTTTAGATAAGACGCTTTATATTTTGGTCCTATAAATCAAGTCCTATAAAACGGTCTATTGGGACGTTTAGAGATTACGGTGTCCTGTAAACCCAATTATGTTGTAGTGATGATACATTGTTATCGTAGTATTAGTTATAAGTTTTTGTGTATACCTTCGATATTGAACATCCACTTGACCAAGATTACGTAGATGATCAGCTTGTCCAGGACTCGACATCGCACCAAAAGCGGTCCCACTTAAATCGAAAGCGAATGGGACCTTGTTGCATGCACCTGGGCACTCATCGGTTATGGTCACAGTAATAGGATTCCTCGAGCAAAACGGCTCTCGAGTGCATAAAACCTGATTCATTAAGCGCGATTTAGCCATTTAATTAATATGTCGATTGAAATGAAATAATTAGTTAAGTGTGTTGATTCCATTATAAAAAGAGTACCTGATAACAAGTCCCACAGCCTTTGCCTTTGAGATATAAGTTTGCATTTCCTGCTGCTATCATGGCTGAGAATGGAGGGTTTTGCACATCATCAGCCCATCCACAAGCTCCTCCTGCATGTCATCCAAAAATGGAGTTTATATATATATATATATATATATATATATGTATGTATATATATATATATATGTATATATATATATGTATGTATATATATATATATATATGTATGTATGTATAGTCTCCTTTGATACCCATGCATGCATCAACTTCAATTAATACATCTAAACATTATTGAATCTTAGGATCAAGATATATACATGTATATAGAGACACTTATAGGTGTATATATAGAGAGGGAGAGTCACGTTAAGTGGAAAACTGTAAAAAAATAAAAAACAGATGAGAGTTTAAATGCAACCCGTCATATTTGTACAATCAATGCAACACAATCAATTGAGAAACTTATGGAATTGATGAGAGTTCATTTATTATGATTTGAATGTTTTTGGAAGATGACTAGGATTCATTAATTATGATCAATACTTTATATTATGAAATAATCAAAACTTTTATAAAATCACATATTCATCAAATTACATAGACGGTTGAGATTGAGTTGTATTGRTTATACAAATGTAAAGTGTTGTATAATAATTCGCCTCTATATATATATATACACACATACATAAATACACAGATATATATATATATATACATATATATAGAGAGATGAGCGATCAAATAAAAACCACTCTCATTTGTACAAACCGTACAAACCACCCTTATACGTCGATTTCATTGTCTAATCTTATGAAATTTTTTCATGAAATTGTTTAATCTTGTGAAATTGTTTCATATAATACTTTTTTTGATGAATTTGTTTCATACATGGTTATGAAATTGTTTCATATAATATTTAATGAAACTGTTTCATGTATTTCTCTAAAATTAAAATAATGAAGATAATAATATCCATGATTAACACCATCTACAATAAAAAAATGGTTAATCAACCTCTCATAATTACAAAACAATGAACAAAATGAAAAATTATGATCGGTTGAATATGGTTTTCACGGTTTATACAAATTAGATGGTTTTTATTTGAACGTTCCCCCCCTCTCTCTCTCTCTCTCTCTCTCTCTYTATATATATATATATATATATATATATATATATGTTATGGTGAAGGTAAATAAGTACGTACCACTTCCAGCACCATGTGGATCTCCATACCATGTTGCCAAAGCTGGGAAAAACCCAGGCAGAACACTGGTTTTGTTACGAAGCTCATGTTCAGAACATGAAGAGTATCCATTTACAGACAGAAACATGATCAAAACCAACATCAACAAACATCTTTCCAAAATTAACCCCATTTAATCTACTAAACTTCCAAGATTAATTCTTATTATCATTAATCACTTAAATTACCCAAAAAATAGAATTAATTAATCACAACATTTCATCAAATCTTGATTCTTCTTCTTCTCCTTCTTCTCTTGATCAAACACATACAAATAATTCTAAAACACCATCCACTGTGTGTGTGTGTGTATATATATATATATATATATATATATATGTAATGTATGTATATATATATAAGTAGAGGGTTGATATATATATATATATAATTAAGGGTTTCAAGAATGAATGGAAAACAAAAAACCTTAATTAGGTTTGTAAGTGCAAATTAAAGACAGAAATGGGAGTGCATGAACTGCATGTTTCAGGGCCTAATTTATGGATTTGTTTGGAGTCAAACCTGCATGGAGTTGACTTGTTCGATCGATGTTACTCCACATCTTTTACTCACATGTAAAAAAGACCCAACTACAATGAAGGGGGATCAAGAATATTTTCGGAACCTTGTTTTCTAATTACATAAAATACGATTTTTTCCTGATTTTTATCGAATGTCATGTTCACCGTGTTTTTATTATACTTGTAATATACACTAACAAGTTGAGCCTTTTTTACATAGATAACGTAAGTAAACGTTATCTTTATATAAGGGGTAGGTTTCGTGAATCTAAAATTGATTAGCAACTCGTTCATTGATTCATCAGGAATATGAATGTGTTATTTACAGGGCCGTTTTTGGGGGAGGGTTGGCCAAGCGCACGCCTTCTTGTGAGCCCAAATTTTTCTAGCATTTAGTACGTGGTTTAAAAAATAGTAAATAAAAGAGACCAGTATAACAAAATTGGGTTTATAGAATGCTAGAAATTTCTAAACGTCCTAGTAGACCGTCTTATAAGACTTAATTTTTAGGACTTTTTACATTAAATTGTCTTATCTAAAAGGGTTGTAATACGTTTATAGGACATTTTTTTGGCATAAATAAAAAAAATTAGGACATTTTTATAAATAAAAAAAAAGTGTTGCATTAGCTATTTTATATGATACTATTTGAAAAACTGTCTTATAAAAACAAGTGTCCTATAAAAAGATGGGTTTATAGGGATTTCTCAAAAGTGTCTAGTAAAATAGCTAATGTGATGTTTTATATTAAAAGTGTCACAAAAAACTTTTTAACATGCCTAACAGCGTCCTATAAACTTATTACGACGTCTTAAGATAGAATGTTTTTTTTGTTTTATACATTAAGTCCTATAAAGCAGTATATTATGATGCTTAGAAAATTTTAACGTCGTATAAACTCAATTTTATTGTAGTGGGCATCAAAAAATTTAAAATCTAATAAGATTCAAAAAGAATTTAGTATTATATTAAGGGCTATTGAATATTAATATTTGAGAAGAAAATATGTAAAAAGTTAATTGGTGATCTATATGATAACTTCCATCTTGAAAGGCATTTGGCGCTTTTATAAAACATCTGTTATTCTTCTTTATCTGTAATCCAATAACCCACTTAACGAGTTCTGCTAAGCTAGCTATATGTTGTGTATTATCTGCGACTTCTACATAAGGCGGTAAGATGACAACTTGAACAGGTACATATCCAAGGCCCCTGACACAAATAGCACCTCACAAGTTCGATTTTGATATATTTCTCTCAGTATTTTTATTCAGTATCAAAGTTTAAAGCTGCTTGACTTGAAAACCTTGATATATTCTCTATCATTCATTTCTCACTAACTTTTAATCATTTTATCTGCATAAATTCTATTTTTATATTGGAATATATTAGATTTATTTTTATCAGCTAAGAAAACTCCTGTCTTTTGGAAAACGATACCAGCCATATGAGATGGTTCAACTTATATTTATATTTACGATTTCAAAACTACATTTGCTTATTCATGCATTATTGACTCATTATTACCTAATATTGAGGTGCATGAATCTTAAGTGTTGGTCTCAATCATCGGATTTGTAAATAATACATATAGTGTTCAATCAAACACTTAGAAAAGAAAATTCTTGTTTACCTTGTTTTATAACGAATATATTCGATGAACTTCATCCATCAGATATAATTCCAATATAGTAGCATCTGAACCTCAAGTCTTAGGCCTCGGATGTAACTCATCGAATCCGTTTGTATAGATTGTGAAATCAACTCTTCTATCCTTAAGTATTTACCATCCGATTAAGAAAAGCAGATAGACTTGCTCGTTGGAGTCTTAATACTTAAAGAATCAAATATCCATAGTTTGTACCAAGTCTTTTGGTATCCGATAAAGCACCTTCAAACTACTCGGTTGTTTGAGCTTGGCTCCAAATGTCAAAAGTACTTGGAGGTCACAAGTTCAAATCCAAGGAGGAATAAAAATCCTCTTGTGACCACGGAGGTTCAAATGCGGTGACTCTGGGCTATCTGCAAAGCAGGTGGTAGTCCTGGGATTAGTCAGCTCGCATAGCATGGTGGATATCCAGGTTAATAAAAAAAAATCCGATATATGACTTATATTTCATGATAGAAAAAGATAGCATTTGTCTCTTGCAACTATTTGTATTGGTCCAAGAGAAAAATGCTTTCAAAAAAATCAAAGACTAGTTGAAATGTCATCTAGCCAAAAAAACTATCAATACAAGATAAAGTCAACTAGTAATCTAATAAACACTACTATCAGCAAGTCGGATTTTGGAGTACAAACTTGTCCGACAAGTTTAGCTCAATAATTCTCCAACACCCATCTTGGTATGAGAACATGCACAACATGTCAGCCAAAATAAGTTCAAAACTACTATTTTATTAGTGTTATACTTTCTTTATTATTCTCTCCGTAAACAGAAAGATGGGATAGGTCAACAAGGGTCTACATCAACCTCAAAAAAATGAAATGAAGATTGCTAGCATACATGGATCAGCAAATCAAATGAAGACATGCATTAAAGTTGGACAACAACATTTAACACAATGGTGGCTATAAAATGTCACTTTTCTCATTCATTGTTACTCAACCGTTTTGAAAGATCTTTTTTGTTATATTTTATAGGTAAAATCGGCATCAATATCTAAAGAACTTCCTTAGTCCTTCGAATGTGAAAGAGTACTTCTTTCCCCCACTCTTTTACTGTTACCAAGTTTCTCACACTCAAATTGTTTCGGATCACAGGTCGTAACTTTTGAGCTTCTATGACAAATCTGTAATTCTTTGTTTTAATACAAATACACGAATTAAAAGTAAAAATTTGTTGTGTCTATATTCAATCCCCCTGGGTCCGTCCTGATTTTAGTCCTAAAAGTTTAAAACATTGATAAAAAAAACATTAACATAAGATGAGATGAAAATTTAACTAATTTATATTGATTTACATAAAATATTACTCCAAATAGTCAACATTATGATTTCAGATGATGTCAATCTATATATCAAAGGTATATTATAAGATGTTTGAATACATTGACGAGACTATGTAAAAATGATATATTATATAATATTAATTTACAAAATAATTATTGATTGATTTTGTATCTAGAAATAACCGGAAAAAAGATTTTATATTAATATTTCGTATTTTCTTGAACAGAATGTTATTTCATTGATAAAAACAATATATCAATGGGCTTTTTTTACCTCTCGCTCAGGGACTATAAAATGTCAAAAACAGGTCTGGTTATTCATATTATGAATTGTTTGTTTACCTCCTAATAGTTTCATTAAGACGCAACCTCTAAATAGTTAAGACATGAATCTTGTTTGACAAAAAGAAAGTACATCACCTAATAATTCTAAAACCTTCTGAATAATTTTGTATCTTAGGTCTCTCTTAACTATTCAGCGTTCTAATTTAATTGTAAAAAGTTATCAAACAATTATATTTTATTTTGCACTATATCATGAGAGTCTCTTAATCATTCTGAACACTTAATCATTATGCACCAAACCATTAAGCAATTGCTAAACTTTAGTGTGAGGGTTTTCCCTCATTATTTTAGTTTTACCTTTTTAAACTCTTAAACCATCAAGCGCATCTAGTGTAGTGGTATCATAGTACCCTCCCACGGTACTGACCGGGGTTCGATTCCCCGGATGCGCATATCTTATTTTTTGTTTTTCATCTTCCCTGCAGTTTTGCGCACAGATTTGGGGGGCCTCTTGCATCCTGTTTTTCATCTGCTTTTCAGGTTTTGTTGCAGACACAGTTTGTTTTTTTGCTGTTTGCCAATGAAATGGAGGAATTTAGCCTCTCAAAACTCGATCTTGATGGCCCTTTTAGACCCACTACGTTTTCAATCCATCCCTTCGTCATCATCAACTTCGTACGCACCCATTTTCCAGTTTTTGACTGGCTTAAACCTGCACAAATTGGGCCAACAGACCCACGCTCATTTGATTCTGCGTGGACTTAATCCCAACTCCTTCCTCGGTGCAAAGATGGTTGCTATGTACGCTAGCTCAGGTGATATCGACTCTGCCATTGTTTTATTTGATTGCATTCGTCGAAACGCGTCGACCCTTTTGTATAATTCGATTATTAGAGCTTGTGCGCTTTACGGTCTTTCAAAAACAAGTGTTGGTATTTACTTGGAGATGGATTCAGCTGGGGTTCGTGCAGATTACTTTACTTTTCCTTTTGTGTTAAAGAGTTGTGCGGATTTATGTGATGTTGGGGTTGGTAGATGTGTTCATGGGAAGGGTTTGAGGAGTGGATTGGAGTTTGATTTTTACGTGGGGGCATCTTTGATTGATTTCTACGTGAAATGTGGTGAACTGGGTGATGCTCGGAAACTGTTCGATGAAATGCCTCAAAGAGATATTGCTTCTTGGAACTCGCTGATTGCAGGGCACATGAAAAATGGGATGGTGCGTGCTGCTGAAGATTTGTTTTCGAGAATGTTGAATAAGAACATCGTATCATGGACGACAATGATTTCAGGGTACACGCAAAACGGTTTAGCAGATCGAGCTTTGGAGTTGTTTGACGAGATGACAAATGATTTTTCAAACATAAAACCGAACTGGGTAACGATAATGAGCATTCTCCCTGCCTGTGCTCAATTGTCTGCACTTGACCGTGGCCGAAAGATTCACGATTATGCTACTAGCATCGGTGTTGACTCAAACACATCCGTGCAAACGGCGCTCGCGGCTATGTACGCTAAATGTGGGTCCCTCTCAGACGCCCGTATTTGCTTCGAAAATATCCCACCAAATCGAAAAAACTTGGTTTCTTGGAACACGATGATCAGCGCATACGCTTCTCACGGATACGGAATTCAAGCCATTTCAACGTTCAGTGAAATGATACGAACCCGTGTTCAGCCCGATGCAATCACGTTTACCGGGTTGTTATCGGGCTGCAGCCATTCAGGTCTTGTTGATATCGGCTTAAACTATTTCAACTCCATGAGAACAGAATACAACATCGAACCAACACATGAACATTATGCGTGCACCGTCGATCTTTTGGGTCGAGCCGGGCGATTGAACGAAGCATACGAGCTCACCGCAAAAATGCCAATGCCACCTGGAGCAAGCATATGGGGTGCACTGTTATCCGCTAGCAAAAACCATAGAAATCTCTCAATCGCCGAAATCTCCGCTAAAAACTTGTTCGTTTTGGAACCCGAAAACAGCGGGAACTACGTGGTTCTCTCAAACATGTACGCCGAAGCCGGAATGTGGATTGAAGTGAAAAATCTACGAGATTTGTTAAAGACTCGAGGCGTAAAGAAGAACCCGGGTTACAGTTGGATCGAACTCGATGGTAAGTTACATATGTTTCTCGGAGGGGATACTTCTCATTCGATGTCGAAAGAAATTTACCAGTTTTTAGCAGCGTTACCGGAGAAGATGAAAGCGTTAGGTTATGTAGCGGAAACAAACTTTGCGTTACATGATGTTAGCGAAGAGGAAAGGGAGGAGAGTTTAGCGAGTCATAGCGAGAAATTGGCGGTTGGTTTCGGGATTCTTTGTACGAGCTCGGGGACGGTTGTTCGGGTCACGAAGAATCTTAGGATTTGCGGGGATTGTCATACGGTGATGAAGTTCGTTTCGAGGATTTACGGACGGCAGATTGTCGTGAGAGATGTGAACCGGTTTCACCATTTTAGTGATGGATCGTGTTCGTGTCGTGATTATTGGTAGAGGTGAATAGAACGATCGATTTAATTTGATCTGAACAAACAGTTTTGTAACGGCTAGTTTTGTGTAATTTTAAAAATTAGATTTGAATTCATTTTCTTCAATTGAAATTAAAAAGTACTAGAAAAGTACCCGTGCAATGCAGTAAGATAAATCTTCATTTTAATGTTTCGTTCTTATTTTTCTCTATCGATATAATACGATAAAAAGTGAAAACAAAATTGTTTCGTATATTATTGACTAATCAGCTCTCATTTTGTTTAAAAGCTTAAAACATGATCGCCTCCCATGTTTGACCCGGATCTCATTTTCATGTTTTACCAAAATAACCACATGGATCGCCCCGGGGATCTCCCAAAAAGTACAAAAGATATTTTTTAATTGATTTTGGCATCCACATATATCTGATTTGGGAGATCCCTTAGGAGGATCCATGTGGTTATTTTGGTAAAACATGAAAAAAATCACTATTTAATTAATATATTTTGGTATTTTAGTGAAAAACCTATTAAATAATTTTTTTCTATTTTCAGTTGGAAAAGAAAATAACTAATAAGTAAAATACAAAACATGAAAAAAAAACATTATAAAAGAATAAACTACTCGGACATTGTTAAACAACGAAGTTAGTGATTTAGGATCAATTTTGAATAAAAAGAAAGACTACAAGGATGATTTCTAAATTTATCAAAACTTAGGTTCCACTCTCAAACTTTTTACTGAACCTCAAGGACTAAAATTGAAGTTTACTCTAAAATAGAATAAAATGACTAAAAAAGTGATGGGGTGAGAGAGGCTCGAACTCTCGACCTCAGGATTACTCAGAAGCTATGAGACCTACGCGCTAGCCAACTGCGCCACCACCCCCTTGATGTTTTTAAAGGTTGTTTTTGATATAAATTATAATACGTTTAGGCTTGTTCAGATTCCGTATTGTTAATTATTTATGTGGTTTTGTTATCTCATTTTACAGTGTAATCAAAAGTTTTATAAGTAAGAAGGTCTCTAAAAAAATTGGAACGTCCATGAGGTTAAAAAAATATGGTCTTCCAAAGTTTAATATGATATAATTGTGAATTGGTTTAGAAGAGATTACAAAGTACGTAGTTATGAAAATCTAGATTACAAAATTTACGAGCTTGTAAATACATATCATATAATTTTTACAAACAATTATATTAGAAAACAATTGAGATATGAACAATATCGTGATTCATTAATTATGATTAAGATATATATATATATATATATATAAGTGTGAGATTCAATCTCAACCACAAATCAACGGATAAATTAGAAAATTAATAATTATAGTAGTTTGAGTTAAAATTATAATTAGAGGGCATATTAGGTATTTTTAAAAAAACTCTTCTCTACTCTCTCATCTCTCCTCTCTCCGGTGAAATCGTTATCACAGTATATCACAATGGGTATCACATTGTGTATTACAATGAGTATCACATTGTGTGTCTTTGTTTTTAAGGTTTTGAGTTGGTATCATTGTTGGTATAACAGTATATCACAATGGGTATCACATTGTATATCTTTGTGATTACCTGGTACCTGTCGGATTAATGTTCACCAGAGGCCGGAGATTGGAGGTCAGAGAGATGATAGAGGAGAGATGAGAGATGAGTTTTTTAAAAATACCTAAAATGCCCTCTAATTATAATTTTAACTCTAACTACCATAATTATTAATTTCTTAATTTATTCGTTGATTTGTGGTTGAGATTGGATCTCACAGTTATCACAAATTAATCAGTTCTCCCTTGAATGAACCCCTATATATATATATATATATATATATATATATGGAAGATGCTAAAGTTCATTCATTATGATCATGACTTTGGAGTAGAAAAACAAAAAAAAAATCAAATATTTATTAGACTAAATGGACGGCTAAAATTAATTTGTACAAGTTTATTAGAATTGGATGGTTTATAAATTAAATGTCTCCTATATATATGGTAACATAAATATAAACAAGTCAACACTATAGAGTTAGAGGTCGTTTACTAAACGCTTACTTGGTAAGTATTTACCGGGTAATTTTCCTCACCGGATGAACATGACATGGGCCAAGAATCTTACCCGGTAAGATCGATGATAAGGATGGAGAGTCTTACCGGGTAAGTGAGGGTGACAGCTCTTACCGAATCAAATCGAGTAGAAGAAAAATGAGCGGTTGCCTTCAACGAAAAAAATTGGTTGCGCTGTTAAACAGTTAAAACTTTACACTAAGTTGAACGTTGACCCAATTTAGGGGTATCCCAGATACCACTTCATCTCAAGTGCATCTGCCCCTAAGTCAAAAATTATGGCATCCAGAAATTTGCTACGTAAATTGTTATGAAGAGATTACAGAAATCATCGTAATGTCTCTGCCAGATGACGTATATCAATCTATCATGAATCTTACCACTGCAAGAGATATGTGGAACACCCTTACAGTCTTATATGAGGGGACTTCTGAAGTGAAACAAAGCAAAATGATCAATCTCATCAGATGGTACGAATTGTTTGTATGTCACAAGAACGAATTTCTCATAGAAGTTTACAACAGGTTCAATTCTCTTCTAAATGATCTTAAAGTGCATGATAAAGTCTTTGATAATGATGAGGTTTTATGCAAATTTATGTATTGTTTAATTGACATGTGGGGAAATATTATTGTGTTTGAAAACGTGTAAGGATCTTCATCACATGCCATTAACCACTCTTTATGGAACTTTATATAATTTTGAGCAAACCAAGGTACTGGGAAAAATGTATTTCATGAAACTAAAAGTACAAATATTGCTTTTGTTTCCTTCGAGTCTAAAATAGGATTTATGTCACATGCAACATATGACACGGATTTAGAAAACTCTGACAACACACAATAATAAATCTACTTTCGATCCCAGCGGAGATTCTGACAGTGGGACCGATGGTTTATCCATGCAAAGACATTAATGATTCTCTTTCCTTAGCTGCATCAAATTTTCAATAAAGTAGCCAGAAAAGGCAGATTTCAAAGAAGGTCAAAAGGAAGATTATCAAAAAAACCATTCTTCATCAATCAAACCTTGTATCCTTACGAGAAGTCTAATTATGTGTGTTTCGACTATGGAAAGAAAGAACACTTTATTGGCGATTGCGATCCAAAAGGTCAAACTTGCCATTTTCTTCAAGAACATCTCACACTTCACAATCCTCCTATAAAGTACTTTTTTCATATAGTATTTTTTTTGATGAAGTTGTTTCATATGTGATTAAGAAATTGTTTCATATACTACTTAATGAAATTTTAATGAAATTGTTTCATGTATTTCTTTAAAATTAAAATAATGAAGATGATAATATYCATGATTAACACCCTCCACAATAAAAATGGTTAATCAACCTCTCATAATTACAAAAAAATGAACAAAATGAAAAATTATGATTGGTTGAATGAGGTTTTCACAGTTTTTACAAATTGAGTGGTTTTTATTTGAACCCACCCCTATATATATATATATATATATATATATATATATCCAAGATTTAAAATTTTGAGTTTCCTACATACAACATCAATCAGATATGACACAAGAAAAAGAGCCTTGGAAAAAGAAAAGAACAAAAAGAGAAAAAGACAAGACGAATCCAAAAATGGAACAATTAATTTATGAGTTCGGATTTTATTTTTCGCTTACGAATTTCAGTACTATTTTTTTCTAAGTGTTTCATCCATGACTATTTATTTGTATTATTAACAAATAAGGAGAGATTGTTGGTCTCAATCATCGGGTCAGTAAATAATACAACTAGCATCTGATTTAATAATTAGAAAGAAATTCTTAATACTTGCCTTGTAATTCTCATATCTAATACACAACATCAATCAGATATGACACAAGATGATTAACATCCGAACCTTAGAAGTCTGGTAGATTCAAGGCTTCAGATCTTAGTCACCATCGGATCCATAACTCTAATAAAACGTGAAGTCAAATCTTTGTTTTGATCATTCTCTATCCGAATGGGAGAATCCCATTGACCTATTTTCATGGTCATTCAATCTTAGTTATCAAGAAGGGACATTTTATTCCAAGCTAGTTTATAGTCCAGTGTTCTTTATTTCATAATGTATCTATAGCTGGAATCCGAACTGTATTTTGTATTTCAGAATAGAAAAGATAGCATTTTCCTCTGTAAAAGTCTTGTAACCATGTGTATTTATTCAAGAACGAAAAGACTTTAATAAAATTAAAGACTAATTGAAGTAAGTTAAGATCGTCACGAAAACGCATTGGTTTGTCATAATCTGGATCTTATAACTTTTCGTAATCTATTTGTAACCATTTTGAAATACGTTTTTTCAATCATATTTGTAGTAAATACTGAAGTTTTGTAAAAAGATACATAATTAAAAAAAATTAGTGTCGTTTAACAATAGAAAAAATAAATAAATGCCATTTTGAAACATTGAAGTTTTGTTTCATACACTTAAATAAATAACACATGGGTTAAATTAGTTATAATATTTCGTATGAAAATTGCATTAATGAAAAAGTCATAGTAAAATAAATATTAATTTTATCTTTTATTTGATAATTTCTTTTTTCAATTTAAATTTTATTGTTGTTGAATATTTTTTATTAAAAAAATAGTTTGGATAATTCAATGGAAAAATGAGAAGTGAAATTAAATTGGATTAATATTTTGGAAGATTCCATTTAATGCGTGAGATGTCCTTTTATTTACCTTCTTACGATGACCATATTAAACCTTTTGATTTGTTGATTTTACAAACATACCATTTAAATTGATTTGTAATTATATTGATTTTTACGGTGGGAAATTTATAAAAATAACTATTTTATACAACCATTTGCTGCAAAATAACCGGGTTTTTCAAGATTTTGCGTTTTGACCACCCAGATTGCCCCCGGGGGCGATCCGTACATGTGGGGGGCGATCCACATTAAGTTTCTTAATAAAAAAAAATTCAGCCTTAAAAGAGAGATTACTGTTCACCATCGAAGACCGTGCTTTG